TGGGAGGTGGGCATAGAGTAGTGGTCCAAGAGACTGGAGGGGGTAGGACTTCGGAAATGTTTCTTCCTCATACGTGTCTAGATCAAGAAGAAATACTTAAATACTCAACCTCCCCCCGCCCCAACCCCCCCCAAACAAAACAAAACAAAACCCTAGGCAGGCAGTCATTTTACTTTGGAAGCATTATCAACAAAATAAGCATTGATTACATAGATGAAAAATAATTATCTCTACTATGCAATTAGGATATTATACTCATGACTCATATTCCTCAGTCCTTTTTCTAAATAGTCACCATTTTTGATCAAAAAAAGCTTTTCATCATGTGGCTTGGTCAAGGGACTCCTGAAAAACACTTCCCTAGCAGCTGTTCATAACACTGTAGGGTTCTTATAATTTTTTTTGATATTGACTAAAGGAATATGAAAGGGTTTGTTAGTGAAGTGGCAGCAGTGTCAGGGCTGAGTGGTTATGGACTGGAGACCTTGTCCTATTACCCCCATGGCCAGTGCCAGATTTAGGCTTAAGCTACTTATGCTACAGCTTAGGGCCTCACAATAGGAGGGGCCTTTAAATAAGAAAAAAATGGACATTTTAATATGACAAATATACATATATATGGCTCCACAGTTATTCATATTGAGTTCATAAATTTGTTCAGAAATAACAATAATAAAATTTCATGAAAATCCATTTTGGGGGATTTTGTGGATTATTTTTAGCGTATGGGGCCTCTTAAACTGGGCATAGTTTACGGCCTCAGCATGTCATATTCTGGCATTGCACATGGCTTTATTGTCCTAGAAAAGAACTTGGCTGTCTTGGAGTTCAGAAACACTGGAAAAGCAGAACCCTAATGAGAAGGCAATCGCGTTCCCATCCAATAATATTTATGGGGGTGAAAAGGAAGGCTAAGCACACCATGCATCTCTCCTTTTTAAAAAACCTAAAACAAGTTTTAAAACTTAAAAAAAGTTTGCTGTGCATCTAAAACTGTTCTGCTGTACATGCCCAGAAATGCCTCAGCCTTGACAGGGTTGAGCTGAGTGCATGTCTTCTGCCTAGGCTGACTGAGATCCAGAGCTAACATGGGGGCTTGATCCTCTTCGTGTTCTCATTAATACATCTAATGCACATGACAGGATTAGACTCCTTGCAAAGTGTAGGAGGCTAGCAAATGGACTACTTGCACAAGATTTTAGAGATTCAGGTTAAGTGACCTCCATGGCCTGAGGCAGTTCAGACCCACACTTCTGAGCTCTACCACCAATCTATAAACTGCTCTGTGGGGACCGTCTCTGCTCTGCCTGCTGAGTACAACCCACTGTACAGAAAAGAGTTCAAACTTGAGCCAGAGAAAACAAGGATGAATGAGCCTGTGGCATAGGTGGTTTGAATGGTGACCTGGTGATAGGACTTTGGGGTCATGTGCCTGGTTCATAGGTTGTTTTTACTTTTTGTTAAGAAACTCACCCATATATTAAATCCCAGCTTGGGAAAACAGCATTTGCAGTCCTTACTATCCTAGCTTGCATTTCACTTGCAGAGGAGAAAGCTTGAAACATCATCTGTTTCCAAGGAGATGTAGTCAAGCTTTTGCTGTATAGAAGAAATCTGGTCAGTGTCCAGTCTCCTCATAATTCATGTATGTGCTTTCAGCTGTTTCCTTAATTATGGCTGCTGTGACCCTGCAGTTACTTTTGAACAAGTCACTGAATTAACTCCTAATCTACTTTCTGCTAAGGCATACTTAATTAATAATACCACATGCAGACTAGAGAAAAACAAATTGGTTTGAGAGCGCCTTAAGTTTGGTTACATTATGATATATATTAAAAATTTAGCATAGAGTTATTCTGTAAAAAAGAAAAAAAAAAGAAAAACTTTCACACACAGCTCTGCTATTAGACAAACGGTTACTGTAATTGGTCTGACTTGAAGATCCAGTTTTATTTTTAAAATGTTGATCTGTTGTGTTCAAGACTTAACATATATATGTTTTCTGCTTTACATTGGGTGATCTTAGTTTTTCCATTTTTTCACCTTATTCCTTTATTTAACTATTTTCTTTTAGCGTATGAAATAAATATTTTTCTGAAAACTGCATCTCGAGTAGAGCCAAAGAGGTGATCCTCCCCCTCTATGCGACACTGGTCAGGCCACAGCTGGAGTATTGTGTCCAGTTCTGTGCGCCCCAGTTCAAGAGGGATGTGGACAATATGGAGAGGGTCCAGAGGAGGGCCACCCGCATGATCCAGGGACAACAGGGCAGACTCTACAGTGAGAGACTGCGGGACCTGAACCTATTCAGCCTCCACAAGAGAAGGCTAAGGGGGGACCTGGTGACTGTCTATAGACTCACTAGGGGGGACCAGAGGGGTTTGGGGGAGACGCTGTTTCCCCTAGCGCCCGCTGGCATAACAAGGAGAAATGGGCACAAGCTGTTGGAGAGGAGGTATAGATTGAACATCCGCAAAAACTACTTCACCGTTAGGGCGGCTAGGAGCTGGAACCAACTTCCAAGGGAAGTGGTGCTGGCCCCTACCCTGGGGGTCTTTAAGAAGAGGCTGGATGCCCACCTAGCTGGACTCGTTTGAGTCCCATTTCTCTTTTTGGGGTTTTTGTTGTTCTCCCGCCCTGGCGGGGGGTCGGGCTAGAAGATCTACTAGGTCCCTTCCGACCCTTAATCTATGAATCTATGAATCTATGAAAAATGCAACCTTGAAAATATTGTGCTAATGGATGGGTAGAATTTCTTTTTTATAATGCATTAAATGTTAAAGATTGCACTTCAGCTTTAAAACATGCACAATGTAGCAATTGTAGAGGAGTCTGATGACTGCTACCTTATTCAGCTTAGTAATTATCTTATATTTAAAATGAAGTCTTTTTTTAGATTAAAATTACTCTCATAGGACACAATCTTTGGGAGTTAAAAGGAGTAACATAATTTATCCCAGCAATAATTTAAATGTCTATAGCACAGAAGTCTCAAACTCCCTCCATTACCTTAAAAATATTTTGGAGCTTTCAGTAACAATGCAATATTATATTGACAACAGCTGGAGTATTTGAAAAAAGATAATCTGCCTTGTAGTACTTCAAGGTAAGTACTTAAAAGATATACCTAAAGATTTAGATATGTATATTGGTTTGATAATCCTCAAAGTACTCTCCTACAGACCAAGTAAATGATCAGATAGTGTTACAGGCAGTAGGAGAAGGGACTAGAGAAGGAGTTTTATTGCTTGTATAACTGACAAACCTGAGGCATTTTTATAGAAGATAGCTAGTAGGGATAATAACTTTGTGACAAAACAGAAGAAAGGTAATAATTCATAAATTAGCAGGTCATTAATCTTGTCTTTATGAGAGAACAAACTAATTTATTTCAGAGGAGGTTGAACCTGAGGTGCAATCTCTAATCTTTTTGATAGCCTAGTAATGTTGAAAGGCTCATAATGTACTGCTGCATTATTCTTCCCTTGATTGCAAGCTTTTTTAATGCAATGATGGAGGCTAAAGATGACACAAAGCAATAGAGAAGTATTAGTTTGCTGTACAACTCTTAGGGAGGTAATAGCTGAGCAGTAGTCAGAGGGCAACAGCAGTTTATGGAAGAGAGCAAACATCATTTTAAATGATTGTTATAGTTTCTAGGGTCGGAAGGGACCTGAGCAGATCATC